GACTGGTGCGACTGGAACACGGGGCGTTTTTTCAAGGTATGATATAGGTTATGGCACAGGAATATGTGGGTGACAAGAACTGCTAGCCGCTGATAAAGGGAGTTAGAGTGGAAAGGACAACATACTCATAACGCGGTACACAGCATCAGTTAGGCGTTGATTTCAGCAAATGATATCAAGGGGAAGGTGGAGAATGCGACGGCGGGTGACAAGAAATGATAACAACTGATAGGGCCTGATGCAGTTGTTGTTCAATCAAACGCTGGAGCCTCTACACCACGAAATTATGGAGTTTTAGTGATAGCGACATTGATGACGAGTGACAAGCAATTTTATCAATGATAATAAGGAAAGGGGACATTTTACACATCTCTGACCACCACGACACCCAAAAAGTCTCATAAGCAAAATTTTCCACAGCATCACATCCTCTGATACTTTGTGATACTTGATTTTACTTTGATGATCCATCTCATTGGCCGGTGTTCGCCAATGCTGGACTAATTGCGCCTCCCATGTTTTTTGCAATGTGCAACGGTCATCCAAGGTAAAACCTCTTTGTTTGAACGATTTTGAAAAAACATCAGACCAGCGAGTAGCGGGACGCCCAGGTGTTCGTTTGGTATCTCGAGGATACCAGTACGTAATTCTGGTCGTCCACCTGTCATCCTGGCGACGTATCACGTGTCCTGCCCATTTATGTCTTGCGGCAGCTACATAGAAGGATGGGTCTCGAATTCTTGATTCTCTTCGGATGTCGTTACTGCTTAGTCTTTGCTGCCATTGCATCAGCTTTGTCTTTTTCACCAGCGATCTTTCCAAAGCCCGATGAACGGTTCTTAGCGATTTGTCAACACCTTTGTTCGTTGCCCATGTTTCAGTGGCGTAGCATAGAGCAGGGAGCACGGAAGCATCGAAAAGATTGGCACGTACTAGAGGGTCTTGAATCTCGTTCGTCACTTCTCGAATTCTTGCCATGGCTGCCCACGCTGCTCTTTTCCGGCGGTCAATTTCATATTGCAAATCATTTTGCATGTTAATCTCGCGACCGAGATAGATATATGATTTGACGTTTTCTACAGCTACGCCTTCAAGGTATACTTCACCATCGTCGCACCACTGATTCCTCATCGTCTGCGTTTTTCTCATGTTCATCGATAGTCCAATAGCTTTTCCAGCTTCACAGAGTTCGTTCAGAAGTGAATTCATCTCTCTGCTATTGTTGCTTATAAGGACTATGTCATCCGCGAAACGTAGGTTTGACAATTTCTTTCCGTCTACCGCCACGCCTTTGTTGTCCCAGTTCAATCTCACCATGACATGGTTAAGAGCTGTCGTAAACAATTTAGGGGAAATGGTGTCCCCTTGACGGACTCCTTTTTCGATTGGGATGCGTAGTTTCCTGTCAAACATCTGAATGATCGTCGATTGTCCTACTATTACATTTTCTCTTAAGACATTGACGCTATGTCGGATCGACATCTGCATGTTGTAGGCGTTCAGCACGATTTTACTCTTTACGACGAGTCAAAGCGCTTAGTATTAGTAACAGAAAAGTGAGAATCACTGACGCATTTATATTCTTTGCCATCTCTTCGATCAGCTGCTACGATTCGTTATGGGATATGTCCAGGCAGCAGAAGCCTTTCCTGAATCCAGCCTGCTCAGGGGGCTGGTAGGAGTCCAGAGTATCTTCTAGACGATTCAGTATGATCTTGGTGAAGACTTTATAGACGATTGAGAGAAGAGCTATAGGTCTATAGTTTCCGATGTCCTCCTTATCGCCTTTTTTGAAGATCAAGACCGTCTTGGAACACTTCCATTGTTCCGGTATCTCACCTTTTCTCAAATAGTGATTGAAGTGTTCCGCTAATACCTTTTGCATTGTGATTCCTCCTGCTTTCAAAAGCTCTGCTGATATACCGTCTGGTCCAGGTGCCTTTTGAAATTTTAATGACTCGATCACGTTCCTCACTTCAGAGATTAGAATTGGTGGAATCTCGTCATTTGCAGGGCACGGCGACCTTGGAACAACTGTCGTTGACCGGTATAGCTTTGTATAAAAGTCCATTACAATGCTCTCGATGCCTTGTCTCGAAGTCGTTGGCCGTCCTTGATTGTCCTTGAGGCATGTCGTTTCAGTGCGATAGTCCACCAAATCTTTTCGGCAGCATTTCAAGCTCTTCCTCTGCATTGCTGCTGTCATCAGCTTTTGTTTCCGGTATTCCTTTAGAGATTCTTTGACAGCTAAACGACATGCCTTATTGACAATCGACTTCTCCAGATGCGTGACTGTAGGATCTCTTCTGAGTTCTCCTCTGCGTCGGAGGAGATCCTTGGCCTTCGCATTCAATCTTTCCGTCCTCGCCACTTGGTTCTCCGTAGCAGCTTCCGCACAGCGAAGGAGGTTGCTATTAAGCATCTCATAATCCTTTGTGACGTCTTCTAGCAACCTCCAGGATTGGTTATTCATAGCTGTTTCCAGAACTTCTTCGTTGTATCGTGGGAAGCGGATTGGGGGTCCACGGTGTGTGTCTCTTTTGAATATCTGGTCATTGAGCCGAACAGTCATTCTGACTAGGCGATGGTCACAGTAAGTGGGCGCCCGTCAAACACAGGGTCCACCAGGTCATTCTGTTTGTGAAAAACGTGATCCAGTTCCAAACGGTGAAGCTCTCCGTTAGACTCCCCAAAGTCATCTCCTGTTTTGAGGTTTTGTACAAGAGAGAGTTTCCTGATAGACGATTACAAAGAGTACGCAAGATCAGAAAACCCAGCCAGTTATCATTTCTATTTCCTTCTCCGTGTTTGCCGAGCCTCCAGTTGCCATCATTTCCATTTCCAAGCGCAGCATTGAAGTCTCCGCATAAATACTTGTAATAAGACTTCTCTCTCTTGACTACCTCCTCCAGCTCATGGTAGAAAGCATCCTTTTCTTCTTCATCCGCTGAGTTCGTGGGGGCATAGCAGTTTACGATGCTGATCATCGCCTTCTGTCTCGTTTTCAAACGCAGCAGTGCGATCCGAGGGCTGAGGATTTCGTGTGAATGTACATTCGATTCGATGGAACGGTTCACAAGGAACCCGACCCCTCCGGAGTTTCTCACGAGATTCTTCTGCCCTATCACAAGCAGCTGTCCCTCATCCATCTTTCTTGTAAACGCCTCCTTCGCCTTTGTCTGCCTAAGACATATATCGTCGTACGATATTTTCCTCGACTGGTGAAGAATGTCTCAAGCTTGCCTCCATAGATAACGTTCGACAGTTATACGTACAGATGTCTAAGTAATCATTCATGCGTCGTCGTCGTAAGCGAGGTTGGCCGTTGACGCCCAGTACCAAATCTCTTCCTTCATCAGTAGCGGCGTCTCCGGGCGTCGTGGGAGAGCATATCTGAATCCGGGCCGATTCTCTTCTTTTATGCAAATGTTCGTAGGCAAATAGAGCGTCGAATACTCTGAACTGCCTTGCCGGGGCTATCAGAGCCGCCCGTTCAGTTTAGACTGGTCGAAAACTAGTCTGGTGCCGTTGGCGTTCCTTCCCAGAAAGAACGTTCAGCCCGTCACCACGTGTGAGGTTGACACCTGAAGGGGCACTCCTCTGGATAGCTCTAGGAAATGTTATTCATCCACTAGGGGGGTATATACTTCGCCTGAAAAAGGAAGTTTGGAGAAATCAAAAACTCCAATATTGGAACACACTTTATGCGTTCAGTGAGTATTTAAATATTTTTTTTGCTTTTCAACCTTAAGTCACTGATGAGAACGAATAGCGAAGCAGTTTGTAAGATATTCAACGAACCTAAATATTGTCATCTGCAGCCATTCATGCAACCTTAGCAGGTGGATTGCATGTTAATGACAAGTTAATCGCCCATCGTTGGTGTTGTGATGCATGGTAATAAAAACGGAATGTGTTCATCTACTGTGCAACACATATTGATATTGTGTACTTCCTATCTATTTCTGAGAAGGGGATGTCGTTCAGCCGTGGTGAGCTTTTCAAAACCGATTGTTTTGCATGTAATGTAGGGGGCCATACAAGGAACACACAGCGGGTTCATTTTTGTACTAACCTACTGAGGAATGTCAAAAAGGGATTAAAAAAAATCGCTTAAAATACGCAAGTTTTATCATCTCATTCGCATCTGTTTCAGCTGTAAAGCAGAATACATAGAGTTTATAAAGTGTTTCTCAACTAGACATGAAAAAGAACATTGAATAAGGTCGAAATACAAGTGCCTTACTTGGCATACAGTGAGGTACACTGCAATTTCTTTAGGGGCTTATGCAGCATCCCTTCGCGCTCGCAGTGGCTTTTTAGCGCCACGCTGGCCCCAGATCACGTCGGCGCCATAAATAATTGTCAGAATCGTGATCAGGGCCATTGATTACCCCTGTTTGAGAGGTTTCAGCGAAAAAAATTTTTTTCGAGTTTCTTTAGTGGTCATGGACCTGACCCCTTGGATGGCAGTGACAGGCGAACCCTCCGTTAAGTATCCCTCTGGCAGACGAACCGCCAGAAATTTTTCATTTCTTGCCCCTCAACTTCAGTAGGTCTTCATAGAACATCTTGCTAGCTTCGGAGCCACTAAACGAGCATCCTGGATCTTTCTTCACTTTTACCGTCTATGCTTTCGAGAAAGAACTCGTTACCACTTGCCCGAAGAAAGGTTTTTGTTTCTCATATCAAAGGTATGAGAGGAGTGCAGTGTATGTGCGTCACTTTTTTTGTGTAGTTTTTAATTCTGCGTCTGCATACTAGCAAATGAAAAGCTTCCTCTTAACGATGTTGGATAACGACTCCTTTGGGGGGGGAGGTAGGGGGGAGGGGAGGCGGCTGATAGCCAATCCGCTTGGGAAGGCGCAACATGACACAACAAGCTCGGGAAAATTTTTTTTCTCGGCGTAACTCTATACGTAGGGGTAATTGATGGTCCTGATCACGGTTCAGATACTTATTTTTGCCGCGGAGGCCATCTGGGGCCAGTACGGCGCTAAATAGCCCCGCCGCGCAGACTGACAATGATGGTAGTACGAGAAAGCCTTTGCACCAAATTAGCGACACATTGCGCCATATTCAAAAATGAGTGTCGTGTTCATGATCAGAGCATCGGATTACCGCCGTAACCCAAGTTTCATGAAGAGTTTTTCGATAGTATTTCGCGAGCGCAATAATTGAGTGAGGCCTATTTGTGAACCGTTCCCGCATGGAATGTGCCTTCAGAATGGCGTATATCCGGGTCATACACATTATGGGGCATGCAGGAATACAAGAAGCAGAAATGTGAAAAATGCAAAAGTTGTTTCGGCGAGGGGACCCGATCCACAAACCCACCGTCCGAGAGCCCGTCGCACTATCCACCACACCATCTGCCACTGCTGCACTAGCGATACAGGACCTGTTGAAAGAGAACGCTCAGTATGGACCGGAAACTCCAATGCAGCTCACCGCATGCCAAGTAGACCATTTGGATTTTGACCTTATTTTGCGCTGTTCTTCATGCCTGCTCAAAGAATACCCTACATACTATACACTGTCAACGCTACAGCTAGAATAGAGGGGAATAAGGTGGTTTAAAAAGCCCATTCTTTTCGAATTGTTTTTGACCTTTTTTGACATGTAAAACCTTCAAAAAACCATAGAGATCATGACCATATCAAAGACCAGTATAAATGACGGCGGGAGTGTCCCCATCGCTGTGGTCCTCGCATGGACCCCTACAACATGCAACAAACCGTTTTGAAAAAGCTCACCACGGCCTGAACGACCTCCCTTGTGAGATCTACGTATAGAATGGGCGTTATGGCCGAAACCAGCACGCCTTCCGCTACCTGAGGGGTGCAGATTCCGCTAGGTTACTCTGTCTATTATGATTCGACAACTAACGCGCAGTATGAGCAGTTCTTACAATTAATAATCCTATCCGCCGTATGTGTGCGGCAGCCAGAGCCAGCGAAGCCGAGCTAAAAGAATGACGGAGAGCTCGGCTCAGTGCCGTGCGATCCGACTGGTTATTATAATAAGTCAAATTATTCTCTTAGTCGTTGATGACTGAACAGTACAACCATACTCTGGTTCGTTGCGGATGATGGGGCGTGTCCGCGATTACGCTTGGCGCTGAGCCAACCTCTTTTTTCAACAAACGACAGGACTACCATATCGTTCGTACCAGACGTTTTCCAGCAGTTGGTCTCCTTTATCGGAGACAGCAATTGGCGGAGCACACATCTGGCGACACAGACACGCTCCATCATCCATCATCGCAAGGGAAAACACTGTAAACAAGTGCACAGGTTCGCCATGGATCTCCCTGAATCCTATAGACACATTTGCTCGCGTGGACAGACATTACGCACAAATTGCACCATCCCTTCACCTCTGCGCGGACCTCAGTGCGCGGCGCATCCAAAGTCAGCGTGATCGGCGCTAAACGAACCATATTCTGCTCCTGCTCCACCACAGGATACGTTTTTCATGCGTTCCTGGTTATTCGAACACGCTCACTTGAAACGGTACACAGGAAACGGGTTTTTCGCGCAGCTGGGAGTGTTCCCCAAGAAATCCCCATAGCGAGATCTCATGAATCCCGAGAACTTCAGAAACAGCTCAAGAGGTTTTTAGAAAGAGAAAATCTTTAAACACTCGAAACCGTTCTCAGATTTGTGAAATGTTGAGTTACAAAAAAAATATATTGATTCAAACCTGTTCAGTTGAAATCACTCCCCAACGAATCCTTATGGCAGATTTCTCTGTGATTTTTGCGACCTTCATAACACTGTACGGTCTCCTATTCCACAGGTTCCGATTCTTTAGGAAAGTTATGATCGCTTCAAGACACCCCACTTGCTGAAAGTCGCGTCGCAGTGATAAAAATTTGAATTACATACGCATTTCTGCTACCGTACTCCACATCTCGGGTTAATGCATTTTTAGCGCATTTCTTTTTTTTTTTTTTCTGTTATGCCGCTTTTGTTTTTTCGTTTTAGTCATAGTCTCATTTAACTCGCATTTATGCTGTGTTTATGCTACTCATCCTGTTTTTGATTACAAACGCTTGCACATAAGTAAATCAACTCAACTTAGGTAGGACTGTTTATATCTATTTTATTATATATATAATTGCTCTATATCTAATTTCAGTGAAGTACTGTAACGGTACAACAGGTAAAAAAGGGCGGGGGGAGTCGTTAACCGAACCCCAAAAGGGGAGGGGGGTCGTACAGGCTCCACAAAATCCATTCGACCCATCGGATGCTGTGCCCTGGCGCGCTCACGATCGCACAACCACGAAGTATGAAAGCGCTCTCATGTAAACGTATTTTGCATAATCGGAAATCAGGCAAAATAAATAAATAAATTCAAAGGAAGCAAAATAGATGTTTCAATTCGTAAACGCTCAAATGATTTTGCACAATGCTGGCTATTATTAATGTACACTCAGTTAGAAAAATTACCTATTCAAGTGCGAAGTAAACCCTGTTGTGATCTCCAGTGTGTGTAATCACTTTTCAGATGTCATCACTGTAAGGAATGTAGCAAAGTAACACCGGAAATCTCGCCATACTCAAC